ATGTAGATACTTATGTCATTTTCACAATCCTATATACTTATATTGTCTTGTTTGGATTTATCTTACTTATCAGACAGATAATCAATAGGATTATAATTTACTGAATAGTAGATATTTATTTTGACACTATTAGTATCTGACATGTGGAAATCAATCCTTATATCTGACCTTATGAAACCAGTCCTTATATCAGACCCAAGAAATATTCCACTCCTTTTTCCCCATGTTCCATTTATGCCTGAATTATTTAGTAATCATGCTTTCATTTCCTATATGCCTGTCTACCAGTAGAACAGTATCATCCAAAGCAGATTTGCAGTGTTCTAGATGGTAAGATTCTTGAAAAATTAAAATAAAATAAAATAAAAAATAAAACGAAATGTTTACCTGACTGGTTTATAGAGGCTTTACTTTTCACAACTTTGGACATAACATTGAACATATAGGGGGTGTACTTCAAATGAATTAATGATCTAGTGCACATTTGCAAATAGCAAATGTTTGTCTACCTATATCTCAATGCTTGTTATGTCAAAGATGTTCTATGAAGCATTCAACATACAGGTTCACTCTGCAATAAAGTTGTGTTGATTGGAATTGTTTTCCAGAGATTTGCAATCTTTGAGAATGTTTTGAAGAACTCTCTTGTCTTCTTCTCATCATTTCACCTGTGACTAAACTAGATATTTGAGGGGAGGATTTCATTAAGGAAAGTCACATGGGTCTGGAAATTCCGTTTTAAACTATCACTAATTAAATTGCCTTAATCCTACTGAACCTCTCAGCTGTGCAGTACAGCTATTTCATGTGAAATCCACAAGCCTACTATTTAAATGCCATACTTCTTTATTATTATTTATTTATATCTAATTTATTATCGGTATGAATCTCTGCAACCTTGGAGTATGAATATCTTTATGTTTAATTAAGAAACACCCTCTGATTATTGTCACTCCCACATAGAAGACAGGAGGACAAACACGGAAAATACACAAACCAGGGCTTCCTCAAATGATCCTACTCACAAGCCTGTCAGCAAACTCCTAAGAGCTAGGAAGGACACATGACAGAAGCCATCTAATTAGAAGCCTTAAACTTTTAATTAATTTATTTTAGCTTATAAAATAGGTGTCCATGGGAAAAATACTTCATTGTGTGTTATGATGTACATATAAGCATACAGATTTTTCCACAGGCCTTACTGAAATCTCCACAGCAACAAAAGCGTAATGCTGATACCCCTGAGATTTATTTTGTCATATAGTAATGAACCCTGGCACTAATCCAAACGCTTGTGTTCAAGCAATGAAAAGAGAAAAGTAATCCTAAATTTGAAAAGGACAAACTTCTATGTATAAAACAAAATTAATAATAGTAATTGATCATTGTGGAGTTCATAGAAGGAGGTAAAAATCAAAGTATTTTTTTAAACATGTTAAATTTGGCATTTTGTAAAAAGTAACTATAATAATCACATTATTATCATTAACATCATCATTTTTGTCATTGACTCAATTTTTTTTCACACATCGAACTTTAAAACTACTTGAATGCCTATTATCTCTTGTTAATAATAGAAAGTTTATATACTTTAGTGTATTTAAATGAGAGATGCAGAAAAATGTGGGTATAGTTTCAGTTTATCAGCTAAATTTAATGCTTAAGATAATGCTAAAAACATTTCAGTCTTTTTAAAGGTGTTTTTACTTCCTATTTACCCATCCTTTAGCTTGGCTCTTTTATGCTGGCAATATGCTAAATATTAGTTAAGTAGCTTTAAAATGCTGTCTTTAGAGACACAAAGGGCTGAACTTAGAGTTGACAATTTTTTTAGGCTATCATAATTCCATGTCTGATTTTTTAATTTTTTTTTTTTGGCACGGGAATTGAACTCAGGACCTTGCGCTTGTGAGGCAGGCACAGTACCACTGAGCTAAATCCCCAACCCTGTTTGATTTTTTTAAACAGTTATTTTAATTTGTTGCCAAACTCAGACCCACTATCACCCTCCACAACTTTCTCTTTTTGGAGAAATTGAGTGAGGTAGAATATGTGTTGGAATATGCAGTTTTACATTCCAGTCATAGTCGATCTTCATTTTTTTTTCAGGATCAATAACAACCAAGTGCCAATAGATTTTTAAAAAAATAGAAAGTGAGAAAAAAAAGAACATCTGTTTTATATCTTTTCCATCATGAGGCCATTTGAAGTGTGAGATTCTTTTTCTGAAAGATCAACACTTTAGAAATCCTTCTGATGACAAACTGCCTACTTCCAGATCATGTGGCAGTAAAACACTATTACATAGCTCATCACACTCAGAATGAAGTGTAGGCTGTGAAAAAATATGATTTATGTGTATATTCAACATTTGTTTTGGGAGCCAAACTGACTACTCCCTTAATTTGTTACAACGAAAATGATCTCTACTTAATTCTCTGCAATTATCAACTCTTAATTCTATCTAATAACACACTTTTACACAAACAATTTGCCACATCTTGTTTCTGCAAAAGTCCTCATCAGTGTCCTTAATTACCTACTGACATTGCCATGTTGTGGTTGTGGACTTTCACACGTTGCCGTGTACAGCATGTCTCATAAAGCCTAATGAGAATAAGTTCATTAAATTAATCCAATAATTAACAAACTTGCTGCCTGCTTCTCAGATGTCTAATTTGTGATACAAACTTGGCAAATGTTTTCAACTGTGGAAGCAGAATTAAATCCAAAAAACCTTTTGGACAAATGAAAACTTATTTTTATTAGAAATTCTTCATCAAATATACAATCAAATATACAATTGTATACAAATATATAATACACAATTGATTGTGTAACTTAACAGACTCATCAGCTTCAAAAAAATATAAAATTATATAAAATGTTGATCAAATGAGAGAAAGAGAGATCCTGATAATAATTCTGCCTTCACGAAATGTTCTTAAAAAGGAAAAATGATACATTGTCTTATTTTCTTGTCTCAACAAGTCCACTTTTATGTAGAAACAATTAACCCTATCCATTCCTAATGACCATCTTCTCTACAACAGTTCAAATGTTTCCCTGAAATGCTCCATTTACCCTAAAGTATTTTTTAAATTACCAAAGGATATAGCCCTTTATACTAGCACTCATTACTTGAGGGTGAAATTTATCCCCCGCCAAATGACTATAAATATTATGATGAGTTATTCCCAAATCCCATTCAGAGCTAAAGTATAGGTTAAAAAAAGAATAGAATGAAATGTACTCCTCAGAATTCTTGCCTTTTGGAATTTATTTTAAATTCCTATGAGACAGAGCACATTCCAGCATATACCAAGTGCCTAGTTAAGTTGTGAAAAACATTCAGTAATGTTTTAAAAGATGAATTTATGCTAACACTGTATTCAATTTTAATAGATGACTTTTTCATAAATTCTTTGTATACCTTTTATGTTTTAACTTTTTTCCAATAATGTATCTAAATACTAAATGGAAAGGAAATATTATGCAAACATTTCCCTTTTTATTTCTTCTCAATAATCCTCTAACCCACTATTTTTATGAATCATAATTGTGTTTATTTACTATTTTCTCCAGAACCTCTTTTATTAATTTTTTCTTATTGCTATGTTCTTTTTTCTGTTTTTTTTTTTCAAACCACCAGGGATGTGTATCAGATTTGGTTATGTCAAGGAATTCTTATTGGAGCTTTGATACAAGAAAGAGCTGTATGCTACAAATAAATAAAAATATCAAATATTAGAGCAAAATACAGAATTTGATGACAATGTCGTATTTATTTCACCCCTGTGTAAAGATAGATTTATTGCCTTTGTTTACTTATGTGCATTTTGAAGTCTGATTTTGCATGACTATCATGGATTCAGAATTTCCCCCTGGGTCTTCATCTATATCTTTACTGACTTCATATAAAAATTAATATAGAGTGGTATTTAAGGATAAGTTTTGATATCGAGGAGATCTAAGTTTTGAATCCTGGCTCATATGTGCAAGCTATATGGCCAGAACTCTATTGTAAGCATCTCAGATTTTTCAACAATGAAATGCAGATTCTAAGAGTATACTGGCTTGGAAATTATAATAATATTTACACAAAAAGTGCTCAGTGATATGTATCCATATTTGATATGAAATTGGTGGTTTAACAATGAATCATGATCTGGCAAAAGCATTGGAATAGCCAGATGTGGTGGCCTACCCCTTGTAATTCCAGCACTTGGGGAGACAAGAGAATAATAAGTTCAAGCCCATCCTAGGCAACTTAGTGAGTCACTAACTCAAAATAAAAAGTATAAGTGGCCTAGGGATGTAGCTCTTTATAAAGGCCCCGGATTCAAACCCCCAGTACTACAGAAGAAGGAGGAGGAAGTAGAGAAGAAGGCAACAAACCTAAGTTGTGGAGATACTAAATGCTATGATTTACCCATTTTTGAAGAGGTGAGGGGTTAGGTACATAGACACAAAAACAGAAACAAAAACAAAAAGAAATGATGCCCAAATCTTAGTTTCATATTTAGCAGGAAATCCTCAATTATTACTCTCAGATCCTGGAATTTTATTAAATATAATGTAGAGAATATATAGAAACATATTGAACTTAATAATACTGACTTTTAAAGAGCATAAATTCAATTATATAACATAGACATTGTCAAACAAGAGAGTATAATGCAGCTGCATCAGGCATGGTCTTTGATGGACCTATAACCTGGGTTACTTTTCCAGATCTTCACTCAAAAGCCCATAAACTTGGGCAAGTTATCTGACACTTCAAATCCCAGAGATCACTTCTAGGGTAACAGAATAGAATATACATATTCCACTGAAGTCTTTGAAAACACCAAAAAGAGAAGGAAAATTTTTATGTGGTAAACTACAATTCTAGCTTATTTCTGATTTAAAATGAAATAATAACTAATCTTCAGTGTTCTGAAAAATTTTAAATTTAAGGAAAATGTTTTCAAATACCTTAATTTTATTCTCAGAAAGCTCTTTAAACTGTCATAGTGGTTCTCAACTGGGAATTGTATCCCACCAAGAACATCTGACAAGGTCTGAAGAAATTTTTGGCTGTCACATTTCTGAGGAGATACAGTTATGTGATGAACAGAAGCCAGGGATGCTGCTGAGTACCCTACCATAAATGCAACAGCCACACACAACAGCAGCACTAATATGGCTATGATTGAGAACTTCTGATCTAAAAAGAACAAGAATCTTCTGAATCCTGAACTATTTGCAATAACGGTATGTTGATACATCACTTACTTTCACCTTATAGTTTTGCTCTCCTATCAACCTGGCAGTGAAACAGAACCTATCCTTATTTCTTTGAGTCACCTGTCTGAAACAATTTCATGATGAATATGGGAATGTTTTGCTACTGTACTAGTTTGTGTCTAATGGTTCTCTGTCATGCTGACTGGATCAGGGGGCTCAGATTAAGAATTATGTATGGGTGTGTCTAGCAGAGAGTTGCTGGAAAAGACTAGCATTTGAGTCAAGGGGTTAAGTGAAGTAGACTGCCCTCCCCAATGGGTGTGGGCATTATCCAGTCCATTTAAGAACCTGAATAGGGCTAAATTATAGAAGAAGGAGAAATTCTCCTCTCTTGTGTCTCACCTACGTCTTAGCTGGGACATTGGTTTTCCCTTGTACTCAGACACCATTGTGTCTTTCAGGTCTTCAAACTCAAACTAGAATTATACCACCAGTTTTCCATGGTTTTTGACTTCCAAACAGCACATTGTGGGACTGATCAGCCTCCCTAATTACATGAGCCAGTTTTCCTCTACCGCGTGACACACTACTTCCTTTCTGCAGCCTGCGCCTGTATGCTTAATTGAGGGACAAATGTTTATTATAAGATTGGTGCTCTTGCTTCCTCTTCCTGAAGTTTATTCAGTGAAGAAATGTTGAAATGTTACAGAAACTCTACAGGTGTCTCTTTAGATTTATGAGCATAATCATATTCATGAGAGAATGAGAGTATAAACACTGTACGCCCAAGGAAGACATTATAAACTCCTCCTAAGAAGGCCTAGACAGGTAATAGGAAACCACCAAGCAGAGGCAAAAAGGTAGTAAATTCATCTCCAGATAGATTGGTGGAAGAGCCTTCTGTGTAGAAGAAATACCATGTATGCAAATCATAAGACATTTATGCATTTCACCCAGCTCCAAAACAAAAACGGAACTGGAAATGTAATAAAAATAAATTCCGGTTTTATTCTGAAGGGGGAATCATGGCAGAATATTTAAAGCTGAGTCAGTGGCATAAGATTGCATTGTAGAAAACAAATCTGCCTGACAACTATAAGAAGAAGGGTGTTACAAGAGGAAGACAAAGCTGAAGGGCAGACACACCAGTAAAGATGGGGGTTCAGACAAACAAACAAGCACAAAGCCTGGAAAGTTCTGACCCAGGATTCCTGACAGGAAAAGAAATTTTAAATGAATGAAATTTTAAATGAATGAAATTTTAAATGAATTTTAAATGAATTTTAGATGAATAAGTTTAAAATAAATGATTGAATTCTTCTATTTTCTTAGTGTACCCGAAGAGTTAGGTTAGAGCATGATTGCAGAAAAAAAAAATTAGTAATATCTATTGACATTATTGGCAAATCTCTAATTCTCACTATGACACTTTCCTCACATTCTGTCTTTGTTTTGGAGCTATTAACAGATCTTGCTCATGGAGATATTTGAGACTCACCAGGCTCTCTCTTCACAGATGGTCAGTGATACCAGGAGTGATGATAGAAAGGAAAAATACGATGATCTATCTAGATTTTGGCAAAGGAAGACAACATTGATTAAATTCTTGCAGTTGAACAGAATATTAACAAAGATCCTCTGGCTCATTTGGAGAGGATGGAATTAACTCACAAAGGAGAGGGTAGCTATAGGCAAGATTCCATGGACAGAAAGATGAAATGCAGATTATAGTTTTAAAAAAATTAACTAGTGAATGGGATGTTAACCTCCAACTGGGGAAGTAATTGTATTATAATGGTGATGGAGAAAACTATCAGCCAAAGAAATGAACCTGAACTGAAATATTTCTAAATGACAAGTAACTTTGGTTACCTTTTTGGTTTGCATGTGTTTTATTTTGTATCCACCACCCTGTGTTCCTTGGTCTCAGAAAAGACTAGAATTGAGCATTCTGTAAGATTCAGTCTCACTACTTAATAAAGCTTTGTCCACAAGCAATTTACTTTAAAAAATGCCAAAGGAGGATTCCACTTATGCAAAATTCCTACCTTCCATGATGATTTCACACTTCAGTATCACACTTGGTTGATTTAAGGATGAATGGAGACAATTTTGATATATTTGTATGTTGAATACATTTCAGGTCTTTCCAAAGTTGAGTTCCTTTTCAATCATTCTGAACTAACACAGGCGGCCTTTGTTAATGAGAAAGATAATGAAGCTTTTGACACTTAAAAATTTGAGGAAATTTCTGGGAAGTAAAGTTCTGTTGCTCCACAGGAGTAGTAGTAAGAAATATGCAATGACACTCCTCTACATCACTGATTTTTGTCATTGATTAAGATACAGGAAAAAACATCAAGAGGCTTCTGTCCAGATGTGCAGATGAGAACCACCATTAGGGAATGTTCTCATGCCTTAAACTACAGGAATATCTACTAGGATCATAAAGTCTATGTTGACTGTAAGTGTATTTATATGTGCTTTCTCTACTCATGAAGGTAGCTGAGTCCTTGGGTCATCTTGTCTGACAGAATTTGTTCTTCCCTGTTTGAAGTAGATGAAATATGCAAACAGAACATTATTTTTCCCTTAAGGTTTTGAGGAAAGTGTACTGATATATTTCATACAGTGAACTAAAATAGGTACATTTTTTTGTTTGTTTGAGAGTGTTTTCAAATAGATTTTACTTTTCTAGAAAAGCTTTAGGATGACAGAACAATTGAGTAAAAAGTACACAGCATTTCCATATGTTCCCTGTTCCCCACTGCACACTCCAGTCTCCCTTCCCTTCTAAATCTCAGATATTGCCATATCATTATTTTAAGGAAAATAGTATTTTTATCAACTTTTTTGATTTTTCTGCATAACTCTAGGAATGTTGATACTTGCATGTTAAATTCATGTAACCACCATCAAAATCTATCTACAGATAATTTCTAAATAACTCCTTTCATAACAATACTCTCTTCTCATAACAATAACTCCCTTCATAGCAATACTCTCTTCTCATCCTTTATCTATGGCTACCAATGATTTATTTTTCACAATATGTTTGTGTTTTCAAGAATGCTATATAAATGGAACTATAAAGAAGAAAACCTCTTGTGACTAGCTTTTTTCACACATTATAATGCAAAGAGCAATGATGAATCAGGTAACTGTCAAAGAGAAAGTGATTTTTTAGTACATTGAAAAGTGGTTTGGATTAAGGCAATGTATTATGCACAGATCAATGAGTTACTTCTAACTGTACCAGTGGTGTCATCTTTAGAAAATATTTATTAAGGTTAATAGGTATGTTTTCATGCAAAGTACATGAAACTTTCACAGGCTCTGAACTTTTGTATGCAATACTAATTGGATAAATGAAAAAGTCAAAACTTCTTATTAACATCTAAGGGACCTAAGAAAAAGACACACTGGAAATAGAAAAGACAGAGAGTGTAGAAAAATCCTATAATACTTTAATAAGTGGATGTATTAAAATGTAAGGAAAGTAATGAGAAAAAGGAAAAAAATTAAATTTTCTGAAACATATCTAGAAAGGTGATTAATGGTTATTTATCAAGTATTACCTGTAAGCACACTTTTTAATAAATGGGCTTATGGATTAACTAATAAAATTGTGTTTTCCCAGAGGTATGATCAAAGGAGGAGTTGCCAGAGTTATAAATAAGCAGTTAATACTGGTTGATCATACCTGCAACAAAAGGAAAGGGCTTTAGTTGGCATTATTCTATACTTTAAAGCTTTGTTTAAAATACTTGCGTTACATATGTAGAAAGCCATACATTTGTTTCTGCTATGTGTAAATATTTAAGCATCTTCTACCTTTCAGGAACGATGCTGACTATTGAAACTTAACAGAGACAAGCCTCTGAACTTACTACAAATTTAGCATTGCAAAATTTAAAGAACATCGTGTTTTGTTCTGCAAAAGGGATGTAAAGGATTCTGAATGACCTTTCCTTAATATTTGTCATTTTTCCTGTGTCGGAAGCAAGTCAGAAATGATCTTTCCTCCTTAGCCACTGCTAGTTATCTGATGGAAATTAACGAGTTTTGATGTATTACACTGTGGAAGAATTCTCAAATCTCTGAAGAGTATATCATATAACTTAAACTTCTTGTGAAAGGGGATCTGCACTATATTCCTCTGTGATGCTTACTCAGTCCATGGCTGCTCTGACCTAAACATCTCTTCCTGTACATTTACATTTCTGTACTTGCATTTTTTATGATTACATGAACATTTCAGCATAATTCCATACCTTGTGTGAAAAGTTTAAGTCCAGGTGAGTGGTACAGGTTCATTTTATAAATTTAAAAGTTTTGATTTATATTTAAATTATCTATATCATCATGCACACTGATGTACTCATCTTTCTCCCTTCCTTCCTATTTATAGGTGTTAAGCAGAAGAAAAGGAGACATTGCAGTATTTTCACCAGATATTTTGTATGCATTATTTAATTTTCATCTAACTAAATCCATGATCTCAGTAACAGCTTCACATTGTTCCTTTAAGCATTGACTGCCATTCAGAAATCTCACCCAACTTTACTTAACTAGAGAGCTGTAGAGCAGATATTGAACTCAATCTGGGACTAGCACAACACTCCGTATTTCCTACTCACATTAAGACACACAGAATCAACTAAATAGGAGTTACCATGGGGACTCTTTTTTTTTTTTTCTGAGATATAACATAGACATATGGTACTCTTTTTTCTTCACTCATAACCTTAGACTTGACTGTTATTTTAGCAGCATTCTGTAGTTTAATATTTATGGGGAACAGTATATCAGTCACACATCTACAGACTGATGAATCTTCATAAGCTTAACACTGTGTATCTAACATCCAGAACAAAGGGCAAAATATTGCAAAGTGTCCTTAAGTCTTCTTCACATTCTTTGCCATCATTTTCCCATCCTCAGAGCAAGCACTATCTGACTTTTAACAACATCAGTTAGATTTGCCAGGTTTTGAACTTTGTATTATTAAAATCAAACAGTGTCTGGCTTCTGTCTTTTAGATTTAGGTTTTCAAGAACTATCCACAATGTTGTGTGATTGTAAAACATTTATACTTATTATTATGTTGCATTTAACACATATGTGCGTATGCATATCCATTTATCCAGTCTGGAATGATAAGCATTTTGGTAATTTCTGACTTTTAACTATTTTGAAGTACTGAGCATTCCAATATGTTTTAAATAAATATTTCTAAATATTTTCATTGGATATATACAAAAGAGCAAAATGTTTATGTCACAGAGAGAACATGTGTTAATTGTTAGTAAATACTGTAAATGATTTACCTTGAAATTGATTTTTGCTGTGGAAAAACTGGACATATTTTCAAGCCCTCCCTTCCTGTTGTGAATATGATGCCTTTTTTTTCTTAGCTCTCTATCTCTTGATTACATGCAATTCACTTCCTGCTTCACCAAAAAACTTTTCAGTCTCTGCATCTCACATGCTTAAGTATTTTGCTGATGTTGCTTTACGTACACATAAAACTTTTGCCCTCTTTCCCAAGAAATAAGCTCTTTATAAAAATATTGTATTCCTGAGCTAAAGTAGTAAGACTGCAGAAAGTTGAATTACATGCTGAATTACATGCACTTATCTGATTTAAAAATAATAATCGTTTATTTTCCAGAGCACCTTGCACCTTTATTCTCAGTCCTGCTGAGCAGTGACTAAGCCTCAGAGGGAGTACAGCTTGCTAGGTAAACCACGAAACTGCATGCTGGGTTGTGTCCCTACAGATTAGGAAAAAACTCTGTAAATATCAGCTCCTTAAATCTTCTTGCAACTGAACTTGAAAACTTGTGCTTGAAAACATGTAGTGAGGAGCAACTGGTTGGAAGTCACCTTTCATTGTGCTCAAGGAAGACTGTATCTCAGCAGGCAGGTAAGAGCATTGCAGAGAAAATTTTATACCAGGAAACTACAAATATAGTGAATTGTAACACATAGTCATTTTAATTCCCTAACATCTTAAAAAGCAAAAATGAATATAATTGTATAGAATAGCAGGGATAAGTACATTAGAATTAAATAATTTTACTTAAAACTTTATAAAGAGACTAAGGTTCTTTATTTTACATTTTTATAAAGATTTTTATAAAGACTAATGAAATCCATTCTGTGCTTTCAGATAACTTAAACTTTAGTTCTGCGAAGTGAAAATTCTTTGTAACAAAGAGTGTTCAGATTAAAGATGAGTGTAGATGTTAGAAAGTAAAATGAGGTATCACAATTAGGATACTCTTTTGATATCATATCCAAAATTCTATATATGAAGGAGCAAAGACAGTTTGATTATAATAAACATTTCCACTTAAACCAAGAGGCAGTATTTCATGCCTGGAGTTCTGATGTCAATTATCTTGATTCTAAACACCTTTCCTTTAATTCTTCAATCTCTTTCTTCTCAGGTTCCTCAACTCTATATTGTAGATATAATATTTCTACCAGATTGTTTTAAGTATTAAACTACTTAATACAAAGAAGCAGTTTACTGTAACACCTTGCACATAATAGCACTAGACTACATATCAATGACAATGATAAAATGAGTAGCAAAATACAGAGGTGTTCAAATAGAGGTGTTTATTTAAAAAGTAATGTTTGGCACCAGGTAACTGCTATGTGTGTTCTGTATGGTTAATATCATTTGTCTTGGTATTTTGTCACTATTGATTATATTATTTTCATTTTTGAAGCACGGCAATCAGACCTGCTAAGAGGAGACCGTTTCTTGGAACATGGAAAGCCTCATGCCTCTATGAGCGTGAACTAGATAAGTAGCATTCACAATTAAAGTTTTCTTCTTTTCATAACCAGGATTCTGGCAATTATGCTACTGAAATAAGTATTACTGAGATGATATTCCTGTTTCCACCACTGTTTCCTTGTTTGTCAAATGAGAAGATAGAGAATAGGCTGTGATGAAACTCCTGCCCACATATTTTGGATGGTTGCGTGTGCGCGTGCCATGTTCACGGAGTATTAGTCCATTGGATGTACAAGAATCACTGTATACATTCACCACTTGACAGTGAGGTATTTCCAGTTTGGGCTAATCGTGGACAAAACTCCTATGAAAATTCAAATAGATATTTTTGTGTGGATATGAATTTTCATTTTTCTTCAATATACACTATAAAAAGTTAAAGAAACCAAACTCAAAAGGCTACATATGATTGAATTTAAATGACAATTTAGAAAAGGAGAACTAGCAAAAGAAAACAAATCAGTGGTTGCTGGGTCATGGAAAGTAGCCATTGCCTAGAAAGATGCACCAAGGAAGTATTTTGGGGTGATGAAACTGTTACCTACCTTTGGAGTGTGGTGGTGGCTAAACAACACTATGAATTTGTTAAAACTCATACAACTGAAAACCAAACAAAATTGTAATGTATGTAAATGTAAAATTAACAAATAAAAACTTTGGTAAAGGCACAGCACTAAGAAATGGTAGAGCTAGGAAGAAAACTCAGGAAGATCTTCTCCATGTTCATTCCTTTGCAAATATAGTCCTGTCAGATTTTTAGTGTCTTACCAAGAATTATTGTTAAGTGAGATATCTTAGAAGCTTCCTTTGAGTATATGACAGTGTATGAAAGAAAAATATTTTGCCTTATATATTATCAGATAGACCATGTCTCAATAAAAACACTGTATCTCTATGTCCATTGTATAAACCCAACTAAAAGGGCATCTGGATTGCAACTTCTTTTCAACAGGAAATTGAATGAATTAGTGTTTTGAATTTTTAAGATTGTTTTTAGAATCAGAACTTTCTTACCATTTAAAAATATTAATAAAATCTATTCCAGTTTTCCTATCTGTTTTTCAAATTGGAATCTCTTTAACATAGCAATTATGGCTCTAATTCTACAGCGTTTTTCTCTCTACGACTACAGGTTGATATATGCTCCATATCTTTTTCTAGTCAATTAATCAATAAGCATGTATACACAGTAAAGCAACAGTGATGGGAAGTCCTGGTAACACTGAAAAAGTTAATGGTCCTTTTCACCAAAGGCTGGTTCATCAGGAAATTATTCCTCCCATAATTGATAACTATTATTATAATTCCTTTGAGATTTACTTAAATTAACAGGTTGAAATTTCCCGATTATGTTGAACAGCAATTTAGAAACCTAAATGATAAAAGAAAAACATGAGATAGGACTGTAGCAATGTTTTGTATCATAAATTGTTTAGCAAATGAACATGCAGATTATTCCAGGCTCACATTGCTTACTTGGATATTTAAAACCACTTAAAAATTCAGTACCTACAAATTATCTATAAATACATTAAACTCTCCAAGAACCTGCAATATTAATTGTTGTCTGGGGATTTCATTGGGCAAACAAATTATTCAGACAGAATAATGTGTGTTCTCATTTGCTGTATTTCCCCAGGAGGTAAAACAATAAATTCCAAACCTTAAAGTCACTACATTTATTTATCTTCTGGACTAAGAACTTTGTTGTTTTTTTAAAATCTTGTTCCACAGCAAACCTAAATGAACTCTGTAAAAATGAAGTGCTTTGAAATGTGTTGTTTGAAACAAGAGAAAATTCCTTTCTAACTAGAATTTGAATACTTTGGTACAAAGGGTCTATTTCTCAGTGATTTATGTTTAGATGCTAGAATATTTGAGCATCAACATAATAGAAAAAAAATGCTGTCACCTTTTGAAAATCTGCTTTGGAAATATCATGGGTTTGAAATCTCATTTGTCCATCTTTCCTAGAGAGACTGGTTGAACATACACTATATATAGGTCACTTTCAAGCAAGGCAAGCTTCAGTGGATCAAGATGGGATGTAAGATATCAAGAGACAGAGCTTCTGCTAGTTGTCTCCACATCTCTGGACCTCAGGTTGTTAATGTCCAATCCAACACCAGATCCCACTTTCATAACACTGGTCCAGCAATTTTCCCATAGCACCTTGCTGTCACAAATTTCATTCCAACAAATGGAAGCCTCCATTAGAATTTACTAACTACTGCATTTGCCAATGGACTTAAATATCCAAGCAAGCCTTGCTAGGCTGGACCAGACTAAAGGGCCATTATTGCAATGAGTAAGGGACTGATGATTAGAAAGAAATGACTCCAAACAAATATGGAGAAAGGCACCAACATACTGTTTAACAATTTAGATACAATTGAATAGATAATGTGAAACAGGAAGACAAGGGGCAAAGGAGAAGGGGAAGTGGGAGGGGGAGGGGAAAGGAAAGAAGGGAATGGAATTAATATGAGAAAATGAAAAAATGGAAACAAAGTCTCTGTAAAGAGGGAGGGATGGAGGGGTTGAAGGGAGGGCAGAGGTAGGGGGTAAAAATAAGAACCAAGAGAGTATGTAAAGGTGCAAATTTCCAGTGATGAATGTCATTATACTGTATACCTAAAATGTACCTATAAAATTAATTTTAAAAATTTTAGATACTGTTGTGTTGTGAAAGTGATGAGTCATTTGAATTACTTTATTTTATATTTTGATCCAAACTGTGAAATACCTTAGCTCTGTAACTCGGGGCAAGTTACTGCACACATATTCAGCTTTGTTCCTTCATTTGTAAAATAGGATTAGAATAACAGTAAAGTTCACTGAATGTTAACTGCTTTTGTACATTAGCTACAATAATAAGCACCATCTTTAGAGTTCACACACCTACTTATAAATAAGATACTATTATGACCCCTCTATTATTAATCCTGCTGTTGAAACTAAGACTCAGCAACATTCTCAAGATTATGTGTTATAAAGTGATGGAGATAAGATTGGAACCTCAGCAGTCAAAGGATGCAGCTTGTAATACCCCACAGGGTGGAAGAAATTAAATGAGATAATAGATAAAACTACCTAGTGTCACTCCTGGCATGCAGTAGGCATCTAATCAATTGCACAATAATTAACAGAGAAGGTATAATATGTGTGCATTATGAAAACAAAAGTACAAAATTTGTTTTATGTAGAATCATTATGCTGTAAAAGTGCATACCTGCATACCTGAGGCACTATGAATCTCTTTTTTCACCTATGTTAGTAGTCTTCCATGGGGGGAAATTTTATTTTCACTCACAAGGGATGTTTGGCAAAGTCCGGATTTACTGATTGTCCTAACTGGAGAGATGCTAGTAACCTCCAATGTGCAGAGACCAGGGAGGTTGCAATTATCCCATAGTGCGTATCTTAGCCATCATCCCTCCTAGCAAAAAATGTACAGCCCAACATATCAGTAGCATTGATGTTGACAAACTCTGACCTCTGGGATGCCATACTGGATTAGAGGTAGATCCTGTTTAAAGAGAAGTTTATCAATATTTATGTTTAGAGCATCATCTCAAAATGTTATCAACATCTAATTCTATTAGAGATTCTGAGTTTGAAGACATGGATCTTTCACAGAGGTTTACATTTTTAATTACTCTTACCTTCTGCTAATTCTGATGTGGTGGTGATGAGGTGGTATCATAGACCTGCTTTTGCTAGAAAATCTCCAGCTATAACTGGTAACTGGTTTATCTGATAGCCACCTATTAGAGAGTATAGAAGTTCAAGAAGAAGCTAGCTCAGTAGTAGCGATCTCTGTAAACACTCAACCATGCTTATGTTTGTGATTCCTCGTGTTCTTAGCCAGCTTCCGTATTAGACTAGCACCCTGTGGTCGAGGTGCAGAGACATATTATAGGCAAGGAAGTGTGAGATATGGTCTGACAAGGAGGTGCTAATAACTCTGCTGAAACTCAGAACTATTCCTTTCTCTCTGTGCACAAATGGGAGGGGAAGGAGTAGAAACAGGTGCTAAAAGAATTCAGTGTGAACCCAGTGTCTGTAGGAAAGCCAAGACAATATGTGCTTGGGAAAGAAGGGACAGCAACTGATGCCATGAAAGGAATATCGAGTTAGAATTTTACACAACGGAAGAGTTTTAAGTGGCAAGTTTAGAGAATAATCACAGTTCTGTGAATGTGAGTAACTTTCAACAGGTTACTTAAACTCTTTAAGGCAGTTTACTTAGTTTCTAACTCATCTACTTCACTGCAAGTTAGAATCACTGGAGAGGTTTCAAATGGATAACAGTATCTAGGCCCAACAGGATCTAATTAAATCAAAATATTGGGTTCAGTGCAGAATATTGATGTTTTTGGATGTGCTTATGGTAATTCTAATCTGTAGGCAGAGCTGAGAACCATTGCTCTAAATGTTCTTGTGGGAAAACAACTAAATATGTAGACAATATGGACCATTCAGTAAGAGATCTGAATCTTAATAAGCTTTCCATAAGCATTAGTAGTTGCTACTATTATTATCATTTTTATTTTTGTTGTGACTATAGCTATCCAAGTTTTTCTCTTGCTTTATGACCTTAGGTATCTTGTTCATGTCTGTTTCCTCATCTGTAAAATGGGAATAATAAAAGTTATAGCCAAAAGTTTCTGTAAAGAATAATGTGATTTGTTAGGAGGGCTTTCTGGACAAACAATTCTCTTAAATGTTTCTCTTTTTCCCCTAGTCTGCATTAGCTTTCATTAAAAGTGAATTTACAAGGGCCGGGGATTTAGCTCAGTGGTTCTGCCACCTGCCTTACAAACAGAAGGGACCGAGTTTGATCCCCAGTACCAAAAAAAAAATGAATTTACAGTATCCCTAATAATGATGATATTCTAAAGTCCAATAGAAGTAGCACAAAACATTTCATAAAATAAGCTAACATCATTATCGATGCTATTATCATGCTCTGTACAAAACTTGTGTTTGTTTTTATCTCATTTAATCTTCCAATCAAATTTATGAGGTGTGTATTTCCATCTGATAGTTAAGGATAGTTGCTCACACAGTAAGTGGCAGAATTGAAATTTGAAGTTAGAAATTTCACACTGAATCATTTCTCATCACAAATATCCTCGTACTAATAAGAATAATGGCTTGTGAGATAGAAAGAGTTGAGTGGGCAGTTAAATCCTACTGTACTGGGACGAGTTCTGAGAGCATGTGGAAGCAGGCATTCTCTGTGGTTTTGGTACATGCAGCTACTGAAAAACGTGCGAAAACAATGCTCTATGTGAATATAACATTTAAAATTTGGAGGCAAATTGCCTGTAGAAATCCCCAAGGCCATGTGCAGGTACATGATGCAGTCTTCCATTGCTGACTAGACTACAGACGTATAATTTAATTAATGGAATAAAAAAAAACAGGTGATAGAATTTAACCCCTTTTCTTGTCATGACATCTCTGGTTTTCATGAGTCATAATCATTCCTTCATCCTTTGGTTAATGGATTGCATAAGGAAATTCTGGGTCAGAGAAATTTGTGGTCTCTTGTAAGATCTCTCCTGGAACTGGCCTTCTAGAGGCCCAGCATGCCTTCCCTTTCACCTTTCCATGTAAAGTCCCTCTTTATTCATTCTAATATTTCCCCTTAACTTGAAAATACTATTTAGGACGGTAAGACAATATGCTTTGTATTCTATCCAATTCTGATATTACCTTTATCTTAATTTTACTGAGATACCAAAGATTATCCATACAGCTCTTTTCAAAAGGAAATCAAAGTCTCTTAGTATCAAATATTCAGAGGACGGACACCTATACCCATACAAATGAAGAACTTTTGAAAATAGGTATTACACTTTACACTGATATTTCTGAGGCCTAGAATATTATGATCCATCTATGTAATGCCTCTTTCATCAAAAAGTTCTTTGATCCTTGAAACTATTCTTGGAGGAAGGACAGGATGATAAGCCTCATTTTATAGATAAAGGAAATTGAGGTTCTAGAAGTTTAAGTGACTTGCTGAGGTGATCAAACTTACTAAGGGAAGAAAGTACAGTAAATAACTAGTGTTTCCTCCTAGTATAGAAATTTGCTTTTAAAAAGTGATAAAGAAATTGCTTACTTACATAGCAAATTTTTGCATGTTCATTTGGTATAGTGGGAGGTACTGATATTCGACCTTCCCACTCCCTTCAAGAGAAAGTCCAGGGGGCCGGGGATTTAGCTCAGTGGCACCATGCCTGCCTTGAAAGCACAAGGTCCTGAGTTCGATCCCCAGTACCCCCCCAAAAAAAAGAGAGAGAGAGAAAGACCAGGGAAAGTACTCAGGTATATGCCTATTCTTGCTTTTTCTTCAGAAAGGATGATACATTAGCCAAAATAAATCACAACTTCATAACCAGAAGGGAGAAAAAGATACTAAGCTGATTTCTGCTGTTTTGGAATTCTCCAGTCTGGCTCATACTTTTCCTGCCTTTCATTGGAACATAGATACTTGCATTTTAAATCTTCCAGCTCTTGAAAATGTTAGAATATAATAGCTATTTTAAACTGTCATAAGCAGCCTCTGCAAAATATATCCCAATCTTGGTTCTTTCACCTCTCATACTAGAACTGAGGTACAGTTATGCCCTTGCTAGTTTGTATTTGTAAGGATGATAAGTAGGCCCATGTGCCAAACCAGTTGGTTAACAACATATAAGTGGGGAGTAGGAAAAATGTGAAGTAAATGCAGGAAGCAATTGTTTCTCCTCTCTGAACTTGTTAGACATTTTCAAGGGAATTTTCATAATGTATGATAAATCCCATTTTCTTTGTGTGAATATTACAGCCCTATACTTAGAATCTCAGAGAATTCTCTAAGTACTTTACATGTGTGACCTCTTTTAACTCTCACAATAAACATCTGCTGTTCTTGGTATTATTATCCTAACTTTATAGAGAAGGTGATATTTGGAATCCACAGTTGTTACAGGACCCTCTGTATTTCATTCCCAGCTCTACCATCTCTAGTACAGCCAGACCCTCAGGAAAAATCAGGAGTTTATATGCTTCATATTGTTAATCTTCCTATATATTTTACTTTTAAAGCTAGTTTATGCGTTGTGCTTCTCCCAAATAGCTTCTGAGATATATGTCTGAGGTGTGCATGGGGATCATATCCTATACTGCAGATATATTAAAAGGAGAGGAAACAGTTGAACATTAGTCTTTATAGTCTTTCTTTTATCTGTTTGTCATAAAATAGTCACTGAATGTCCTTTGAAAGCCAGTCATTATGATGAGTCATGGTAAAAATAAAAAGATGTAATTTTTAATGTCTCTGTTACTGCAATCACCTGTGTATAAAATATAGAAATTTAAGAAAGTCAGTTATTTAATCTACAAACATAATGAGTACT